TTGAAGCCTCCTACCATTATTGTGGAACTGTCGATTTCTCTTTTCAGTGCTATTCGAGTTTGTTTTATGTATTTTGGAGCCCTGTCATTGGGTGCATAGATGTTTATTATGGTTATGTCTTCATGCCGGATCATCCCTTTAATCATAATACAGTGCCCTTCTTTGTCTTTCATGGTGGATTTTGTTTTAAAGTCTATTTTATCTGAGATTAGTATTGCCACTCCTGCTCCACACATATCTCTCCTCGCTCTCTGTTCTCTGTCAATTTCTTATTCCATTTGGTGCTTGGCTGAGTTCTTTATCCCTTCATTTGATGCTTAGGGTTCCAGGATTGATGTTTGTCTCTGTTTCACTTAGTTTTTTGGGTCTTTGCTGTGGAGGGATGGCATGGTGCTTCTGTCTATAGCATCATGTTGCCCAGACTGAATAATAGGTTGTAGAAGTTTTTTTTTTTTTTTTAATTTTTGTTTATTGTTGTAGTTTAAGTGAAAGTTTACATTTCAAGTTAGTCTCTTATACAAAAATTTATACATACATTATTATGTGACCCTAATTGCTCTCCCTATACTATGACAGCACACTCCTCCTTTCCACCCCTGATTTCCCATGTTCATCCAACCAGCTCCTAACCCTCTCTGCCTTCTCATCTTACCTCTGGACAGAAGCTGCCCATTTAGTCTCATGTATTCATTTGAGCTAAGAAGCACACTGTTCATGAGTAGCAGGGTTGTAGAAGTTTTCATGGGAAATCTTTTATAAAAGTTTGTATTCAGAGTTATAAACCGATATCCAAAACCAGAATCTTGTAACTGAACAGAGTTTGTCAACCTCAGCACTTTTTAGGCTGGGTAATATTTTGTTATGAGTGACTGATCTGTGTATTGTAGGATATTTAGCAGCATCCTACCCACTAGATGCCAGTAGTACTACCTCCTGTCCCCACCCCAGTTGTGATAACCAAAACTGTCTTCAGACATTGCCAAATGTCCCTTGGAGGGCAAAATCAACCCTGATTCATAGATATATAACAGTACTAGTACTAGTTGCCAAGTCAGTTCCAACTCATGGAAATCCCGTGTGTGTCAGAGTAGAACTGTACTCCAGTGACTGATTTTTTGGAAGTAGAGTGCCAAGCCTTTCTTCTGAGGCACCTCTGGGTAGACTTGAACTTCCAAACCTTCAGTTAGCAGCTGAGTGCATTAACTGTTTGTATCACCCAAGGACTCCAAATATGTAATAGGGCCCATTTATATGTAAGAAATTGCCTTTGGTAGACAACATGCATAAAGAAAACCTATTCAAGCATATACAGTGAAAGGCAATATGATAAGCAGAGTTTTAACAATGTCTAATTTTTTGTTAATTCTTTAGATTAATTCTTTAATTAGGAGGTAATGACACATAGAAGGTTAGAGCACAGGCTTTGAAATCAGACATCTAGAAGGACTTACTAGCTATGCAATCTTGGGCAACTTACTTAATGTCTCTGTCCTTCAGTGTTTTTACCTATGGTGTGAAGTTCATTAATAGTATCACAAGGTTTTGTGATGATTAAATGACATAATGCATACAGTGTGCTTAGCAGAGTACCTGACACTGACTAAGCCTTCTTTGGGTCCTTGAATATGCCGCAGGGCCTTCACTCCTGCACTTCTCTTTCCTCTTGGCCTGACTGACTCCTTCTCATCCTCCAGGTCTTAGCTTAAAGGCCTTCTCTGTCTAAGCTACCTACAGCCAGACTCTTTTGTTATTCTCCATCATAGTACTGTCTACCTCCTTTGTAGTACTCATGATATTTTGTAATTTTCATGCGTTCCCCACTATTCTGTAAGTTCCACAAGGGCCAGGACCATGTCTGTTTATTCAACACTGTGTCCTGAACACCTAGCATGGTGGCTGGCCCTGGGTAGGAGATCAACAAATATTGCTGAATGAATGAATGCATAGTGCTTTTGTTGTTATTAGTATCATCATCAAGGGCTTATACTGAATTGACTTAACTACTCTGCTGTTTTACAGAAATATTCACTCTTTTAAAAAATGTTAAGGTCAAAATATCACAATTAGTAATAACGTATGAAACAATTACAATAGAATATCTGGGTGAGCACCAACAACAAATCCTGGGAAAGTGAATAAAGCCTAAAATTTACAGAATTCCACAGAACTGGGTAGCCAACCAGCTGCCACTGTGTATGACGTGGAAGGCCTCACTCTTGAGAGTGGGCCCAAGCATTATCTCTCTGTGCCTTAGGGGGCTGCTGGGTGCCATGCTGTGGGTGAGCATCACTAACTCAGATGCTGGTCTAGGCTCTGTGTGGTTAACGATCTTTAGAGACTCTGGAAGGAGGAACACTGGCTTTATTGTTGGTTCTTTGGCAAGGTGGTATTTTCTTCTTAAAATCAAATCATAGTTAAAATATATTTGCTTTTTTTTAAAAAAGAAAGAAAGTAATATTCAAAGATAGAAGACCAAGGCAGGAATAGGGTTACTATACTTGGGACTATGTTATTAAAATATTTGTGTTAATAAGAAAGTACATTTTTTAACATATTATTTTTCATAGTCTGTCAAGAAGAATACTCTCTTTCTTTACACAGTACCAGAGAACAAGTGCTAGTAAAAATAAATTGATGTTTAAAGTGGCTAAAAATATCCTAGGAGCTACTTGATTTTACCTAGCTACTTAAACTATGTCTATGTTTTTAAAATAGCTCTCTGAGACTTCTTTAAAATCCTAGATAATGAGAAGAGGGGAGACCGGAATTTGAGGTGGTGACAGATTCTGCGAACTTCTGACAAATGAGCTTGATGCTGATCCCCAAGACAAGATTCTAAAATGGATCATTAAAGGGATAGTGTGGGAAGAAGTAGGGGTCAAGACAGGCCAGTTTGGTTCAGATTGATCTCAAATCGGGAAAATATGGCAGACATCATGGATCAGGGCTTTGGCAAAGAGACTTTGATAAGGAGTCTCATGATATTTTTGTGGAAAAGAGGGAGAAACATGGGCTGAATGGTAGTTTATTTAAGACAGATTTCTATGTGGCCGAAGAATTGTACAAAATGTGACTATGTTAATCTGAAAGCATGTTTCTAGTAACATGCCAAAGGACTCTGTTCTTAGTACTGTCCTATGCAACGTTTCTAGCACCTTTAATGAAAATCTTCTGGAGCAGATGTTGGTAAACTATTTTTTTTTTTTTCTGTAAAGAGCTAGATGGTAAATATTATTGGCTTTGTGGGCCACAGTAACTATTGCCTATTTTTGTTTCTCCTTCTTTTTTTTAACAATTAGAAAATGTTTACAACTATTCTTATGTCAAAGTCCATACAAAACCAGGTGGCAAGTCAGATTTGCCCCATGGGTCATAGTTTGCTGACCCCTGTTCTATCATTTATCAGACTAGAGGATGACATGAGAGAGGATAAACATCTTGCTTGCCAGATCAGAGTCCACAGAGATACCATGAACCGAATGCCTCTTTATACTGGAAGGGACTCTGAAACCTAAAGATCATTTAATCTTTTCTCTAGACAAACTGAGAAGGCCTGGAATTATAGGTTGCCAGAAATGTAATAGAGATAAATGCATAGCTTTATACTTGAAACCCCAAACTCCCAATTACACGAGTACAAGATAGGTATGTATAGTTGATAGCCCTGTTGGTGAAGAATGGCATTTTAGCAACAGTCGGGCAAGCATATAGGTCAAGAGTGTGAATTGACTCCAAATTCTGTTATCCAGAATAAGATAGCACCACTCAACTTCTTGCCCTCCAATATTATATCAATAATCACTGCTATAATAGGTGAGGAGTACTGAAGAAATTGGAGGTGCTTAAGCTATAGGACCATATCACAGGATTTTAGAAACTGCAAAGCACAGTAATGGGGAGAATGAGCTGGCTCACTGTTTGTAAGCCTTGCTGGGCCAGCAAGAGGTAGAGGAGAAAAGAAGTGACGTTCACGGTGCCTATGGCTACTTGCACATGAGGATGAAATGTATTCATGCATTTAATTCTCCTTTTAGGTCAAAAAGTGAAACGTTTAGTCTGTAGAAGGGACCATCCATTTTTCCCCAAGCAATAGTCCAACATTTCAAGGAAGGTACTATTTAGGAAAGAATGCACTGTCATGACCAGGTAAACAATATGCTCCCAGATGGAAACTGGAGAACTCCATCCTTACATTGTGTTTAATTCTTTCTTCCATTATCTTCCCTGAGTCTAATTTTGTCCTCCAAAGACACATAAACTAAATATACTCCTTTTTCTATAAGACAACTCTTAAAATACTTGAAGACATACACTCCCGAAATCTTCGCTGCTTCTGGAAAGAGACCACTAATTTCTTCTACAGTTCAGTAAATATCACACATGTCATACTTTTCAAACTCCTGCCACATTTTAAGAGAATAACTTAGTTTAAAAAAATTTTAATGCATGGTTCCATATGCTCCTATGGAGGCAAAGTATAAAATCAATCCATCTATCTATTTATCTATCTATCTATCTATCTATCTATCTATCTATCATCTCTCTATTTCCAGGCAAGCTATCTTAAAGATGTCCAGGAATTCTGCATAATTTATCAACACGTAACCCTGGAAACTGACGGGTCTGGGATTATAAATCAAGCCTTTTGAGTTCTAAGCCCATGCTTTTCTACAACCCCTCGTTAAACACCATACCACTAAAAAAGGCTCACTTAGTGTGATATGGGTTTGCAATATAGTAATAGAATTTTTAGCAGCACATAGCACAGGGTAAACTTGCTAAGTTCTAACGAATATAAATGATAAAAGAAACAGAATGGAGGTACAAAATGTCAAATATGAGAATACCTTCTCTAGTTAAAATCCTCTTGGTTCTTTTACCCCTAATTCTTCTATCTCAACCCACCCTGAAATTTCAACTCTTTAAGAGGTAATAACATTTACTAAATAGAAATTCAGAGGTATTGAGTTCATACTGTTCCTGGAGTCTTTTCCACAAACCTGTGTTTGAAGCTGGTATCGTGGGTGAACAATTCTCCTTCTCACATGTTCCCATCATTGAAGTTAAGGTCATGGTAGGAACTCCATTACTACCTGAGAACACACAAAGTGGAATATAGTATAGAGACACACATGCAAATGACAAGAAATAAATGACAAAGTTATAAAACCCCACAAGCGTAGACTTGATTCCAACCCACAGTGACCCTACAGGCACAGAGTAGAACTGCCCCATAGGGTTTTCAAGGCCATAAATCTTGATGGAAGTAGACTGCCGCATCTTTCTTTTGCAGAGCAGCTGGTGGATTCAAACCACTGACCTTCTGATTAGCAGCCAAGAGCTTTAACGACTGTGCTACCAGGGCTCCTATGGTTATAAAAGCCTATAAATAAGCCACTATACTCCACCTTAGCACCTCGCTATGTTCCTGAAGTTTTTCAGTAAGTTAGTTTGGAACGCTGAACACATTTTGCCTATTGAAGCAATTTTTTAAATAGAGAATAGGTTCATGGGCTAACCCACTAAAAGCCTTTTATAACTTTAAAATGACTGAGATAAAGTATTAATAATACTGTAGACATTAACCACCATGTGTAGCAATGTTTCTGTGGTCAAATGCATTCAGGTTCTGACTTGGGATGCCAGGAACACATTTCCTCCCATGCAATCGGCATTTCCTGAGCTCGAAGTCACTGTTCCCTACGGCTGAAGTACAGACTATCAGTGGTGGTAGTTCTAACAGTAAGGTATGGGGCTCCAGGGAATAATGGCATAAAATGCTTCAGGGAAGCAAGAATCTTTGGCCAAATCCTATTCAAAACCTTCCTTTTCTTCCACAGTCCCCAGGGGTCTATCTGATGGCTGGCTCTCCACCTATCCTCCCTGGCCTGAATGGAAGAAAAGATAGTGACAGTTCTTTCCTGCCTGCACGAAGCAAAGGTTTATAAGACTTTTTTGGTTAGTAACAAATACAGAGTAAAGACATTCCTCTCAAACGTATTTTTCACATGTTGCCATCAAGGTAAGTCCATAAGATGGGGGGATAAGAATAAGTTCATTTTTATATGCAAAGGGCTGAAGTTATATTCAAGCACATTTCAGAGAAACAAACACTAAGATTACCCTGACTGTCAGATTTGTAAGCTGAGATGAGGGTCGAAGTGGCAAAAGGGAGCTAGAGCTAGGAGGAGAAGCCATGAGGAGACGGATCAAAGCTTCGCTTGCTGGCAACATCAGCACTGGAGCTGAGAGTACTGGAGCCAACTCTAGGAAAGGAAGCCCACAGATTTCACCTCCATCTTTCCCTGTCCCCTTAAAGGGGCATGCAAAGGGGAGAAGGGTGGGGGCGTCACTGCCAGCACTGACTTGGGGGTGAGGTGTCAGGTGGTTAGAAAAGGAGAGAAGTGAGATTTCTGAGTGTGCCCTGGCGGCCATTCCCTTACTTAACAAATATTTACTGAGGCTCCATGCTGGGCTATGAGGATCAGAAGTCAAGGCTTTGGAGAACCGACATCTAATAAGAGGGCACAGAGAGGTATGTACATATAATTGAACGGAGAAAGTAAAGTACAGGTAAAGTATAGTAGTGCATTAGGAAAGGGAAAAGTGAATTATAGAAGGAAAATAAAAAACAAAACAGAAAACTTTTTGGAGAAGGACCCATCTAAAGTCATAGGATTTATACACAGGAAGACAAGGTAGAGAAAAATGGGCAATTCCAGGTGCAAACTGTAATGACAAAAAGCACAGAGACCACAGGACAAGGCACACGAGGCAAAGTGCCCTGAGCTGACGGCAGGTCAATGATTTTAAACCAAGCAGCCCACAGCCATTGATGATCCAGTTTATGAACCAGTGAGAGATACTTTTTCTATTTCTAAGGAAAAGTTTATATTCATAATGATACCTTTTAAATAACACAATTAAATTATATTTGCTCCTAGATTCATAAATCAATAAGTACTGTATACATTTTACATTCAGAAATTATGATGCTTCAACTTTAGACTCACTCTGTATTGAATAACTCAATGTGATCATGCCTGAAATCCAGTAAGTATGTAAAACTTAAAGATTTTTTAGAGTAGATCGTCTAAGGTTCACAGATAATGTAGTAAAAGTGGAGTTTGGGGGCTTCTATCCTGTGCCTTGATCACTTAGTTTTAGCTATGCCATTTAATTATCTCATATTTTAATAAAGGTACCACCACAATCTCGTCAATTTAATAATTAAGACGTGTTAAAGGCAAGTAAGAATATCATTTATAAGGCAACAGGCATTAAATCCTACTTTTAAACTTAATGGTTTGAGGAGAGAGTTATTTTGTGGTTTCCATTCTCTTCAACCCATAGGCAATGGAATCACCCAGAGAAACTATCAGCAAAGCATAGCACTATCATTTCTATAGGGCAAAGCAGGACAGGGGGAAAAAGAGTAATAAAGGAATTTAAGCAAAACAACAAAAGATAGGAAAGTGGAAAAAGGAAACCACTAGAAAGCAAAATAAATAAGAAATGAAAAATAAGATGGAACGAATAAGCCCAAACACCACAGGAATCAGTGAGTGTGAATGGGTGGTGTTTAACCAGTCAAACAACAAAAATAAAGAGCAATAAAGAAATTCTGGCAGCCACATACTGATTCCTTTAATCACAATACTTCAAGCATCTCATCTATGTCAAATTTCTTACTGATGGTTGCCAAATCAAAGCATTTATCACTTTTGACTATTCAAGTATAATATGATATTATACTGTGATTAAACATGTATGGAAAAAATGTTTCTTACTGTATAACGTAACAATGTAAAATGTTCTGTGGGGAGATGGGAAGTAAAGAGACAGAGAAAAAAAGGGAAAAGAATTTCAAAGCTATTACCCTGCACTGAAGTTGTTGACTGTCTTTTGTAATATAGCCAGCATTGCTGAAACTTTTCTTATTGAGGCCAATCTCAGATGGTATTTCTTGTGTAAGTATTTTCCTATATACATTAACAGCTAATATACAGCCTAAGAGTATTTCACATTCACGAGTCCTTAGTAGTAAAGAAGACCTTGTTTTCAAGGGAATGAAGGAAATCATTTCCTTTTTAGTGTTTATCCATAATCCAGTTAACAAGCTATGCACAGGTCATATCTGCCTTCAGAGAAAGCTCATTCAGCGGTAATAGCAATACCTGTAACAGGAGTTCTGTTTTTCAGCCTATCCACTTCCATAGTGAAGTCATCCTTCAAAAAAAGGAACCCAATAATGGAAAACAGGTAGACAAGGATGAGAGCGAGAACTGCAGTTAGAATAATGGAGCGGCCATTTCGTGTGACACTTTTTATGACATTGAGCAATGTCTCTTCTCTGTACACCAAATCGAAAAGCTAGAAAAATAAAGAAAAAATGCAATAGAACAAAAGGTAAATAAGCATAAAGGTAATTACAAACACAAATGCAAGCCATTCTAGTTTATCTGTGAAACAACCACCACCTAAATTGCACCTTGAATATGAATCAAAATACACATTTCTTTTCTAGTTAGAATGTATTAGTATACTATTTTTCAATAAATATAAAACTAAACACATATAATGTGCATCTGTTAGTTTCATAACTCATATAATCTCAATTTTGTAGATTATAGAAATAGCATCATTTGAATTTTAAAAAGTTATAATACTGCACTTAAACATTTTAGCTATTTATTCTTTAATTTCCAGTTGCTTCTGGAACATGTAAAATGGCTAAAATGAGAATGCTGAATTAGGTCCACTGAAGCGATGAATAGTTGGCAAATTCATTAAATGTGCTGTTTTATATGTATCTCTTCTCAAGGTTAATTATTTGCTTGTCTCATTAAAGCCTATGTGGCGGTTTCATCAAGGGATTAGAGGTGAAATTACAAAAATAATTTTATGATCCTGGTGCAATAGAAAAAGTATGAAATTCAATAATATATGAGAAATACAAACATCTTTCCTTACTGAAATGGTATAATGAGGGCAAAACCTATTACTTTAGTATATACTTTTGGAAGCAGAAGTATAAACAAAAATATAATACACAATTTTGCTAAATCACTTCTAATGGTGTACGAGTTACCCATTTTGTCATTAGTGCTAGGAAATCTATGCACTAGTTAAGAGCATACGTAGCCAACACTAAGAACAATTTTAATTATTTTATGGCTATATTATACAGTTGAAAATATACCTTAGCAAGTATATGTCTGATTACCAAAAACTGGTTAAAAGCAATAAATTGACCTTCACTTAAAAATAAGGTATAAATATCTATTTGAAAGTTAATAGTATTTTTAGAATTGGAATAACTGGGGTTTGTCTCCTGCTACTTTGTGGGCAGTGATTAGAATTTCTAAACTGGCTAAAACAATGAAGTATTGGTGTCATACGTCCCTTCAGAAATGCCAGGTCCTTGTTCTCTGCTTTTCTGAGTACTGAAGGTCATACGGCTACTTTTCAATTTCATTGTAATCGTGCAGATGAATGCTGTATAGATACTAACTTATTTACTCACCTTAGAAAACTGATATTTTAAAAATAATGTTCAATTATTTTGTTATCTGTTTATCTCTTGGAAGAAGCAACAATTTTAAGAAATAAAGTCCATTTTCTTCAGTACAGACAAATTAACTAATGCAAATTAAACTTCGAAATGTTGACAATGTTGCTTATTTAACTTACTTAAGCATTTAGTTGACATAAATGAGATTTTCCCTTCCTTTAACTGAACAGCTGCTTAAAGAAAAGGTCTGGTAATGTTCTCTAGCTTAGCTCTGGAGAATGTTTACAGCTTTCAGAAATCTCTAGGATGCTTGCTAAAAATGCGTATTGATGAGTCCCTTTCTATACCCATGAAATCAGAGTCTTTGAGATGCAAAATGGGTTGACACTGGACAGGTTGATGGTTCTTTCTGTTCATCTCTGAGAGAAAAAATCTAGAGTATGGTTTTTATTATTTTGGATCAAGGACCGACATGTATGAGCACAACAGTGAAGTCATATTCAAATATGCTTTATAATATAAAAATATTTTTCAAATAGTTTAAATACCATTTTCAGTATTATGTACATTACAATTTCCCTCTAGTTCTCCAAACATCAAAATAGACTATATCATTTTCCTAACCAACTCAATGTAAACAAATTAGCATTAGTATTATAAGATTTGAAAGACTGAAGATCAGAGGAAAATAAAACTAGAAAATAGGGTTAAGTAACAAAAATTAAAATTAACATTACTAATAATAGCTTATATAATAATTCTAATATACCTTCATTTTGTCAAACACCTTTCCTTGAAAAATATAAAGATTCACATACAGAATTTCACATATTTTTCACAGTATGTCTTTAATGGATCTTGATAGTACTAGTCTTCCTTACTCTCCATATCCATTTTATAGACAGGAAGGTTTAAGGTTTAAGTACACAAACATTATAGACAATTATACATCACAACCAGTGTTAAGAGCGGGATATAATAGGACTTCATATATTATAGGCAGGTAAAAGAACTGGAATCTGTCTGGTGAATCAGGACACAGGAAGAATTCATTTGGATCCTTAGAACTGGGGTGGAGGGAAGGAAATCTATTTTTTATTGCCAAATGAACTAACTTAACTGCCTAGAAGATAATTTTGTATCAAAATATAATAGATAAATCCACTCTTCACTGTGGCTGTTTTATGTGTTTGAGGGTCAATGGAAAACCAGACTTTCTTCAGTCTTCCTACATAGGGGTGCCTGTTAACAGGGAACCAGGAGGCACTGAATTGATCCCCCCGTGATCCAAGCAAACTGGTTCAACATAATGTATTTAGATCTTCAATTTGTTTTCAATAATCATCTTATTGGGTAGCATTCTCCATAGTATGTCAACTATGGACTGGAGGTATAAATAAATTTTTCCTATGGTGTCATGATGCTAACATGCTAGAGCTTTAAGTTTCAAAATATTATCACATATTTGTACTGACTTCTCTAATGTTTTATGACTATAAAACAGTATATACGTATGAAGGAAAACTAGTAACCAGCAAAAAAAACTCTAAAATAAATCTGAAAAGTCTATTTTATTAAGTAGATATATGTAGGTAAACTTAACAACAATGGCATATTAAGCTTGAAATTATACTACTGTACTTAAAACGGAAACCCTGGAGGCATAGTGGTTAAGTGCTACGGCTGCTAACCAAAAGTACGGCAGTTCAAATCCACCAGCTGCTCCTTGGAAACTCTATAAGGCAGTTCTACTCTGTCCTATAGGGTCGCTATGAATCGTAATCGACTTGATGGCAATGAGTTTCGGGTTTTTTTTTGTTGTTGTTGTTACTTAAAACAACTTGTCTCTTTGTTAGGTTGTCATTTTCCCCCCTCATGCTACTTATATATCATTTTAAAGATACACATGATACATGGCATTATAAATAAAATGCAATAATTTCAGTATCTATGGAAGTATATCCCTATTTTTTTATTCCACACTCTATTGGAGAATCTCTAAGTGTATTACTTGGTAATAATATTGGAAGTATTATTGGCAGAAATCAAAAACAGGCTGTCATATGAAGCCAGTGTCAAGAGGTAGAGTGGTTGTTTGCCTCTCAAGGAGGAAATAAAGAATTCCACCACCTATGTGGTTTTTCAGAGAAAAAGACTAATAATAATAATCTATGCTTTTCCTCAGAAATTCTAAAAATAACATTATTTGTCTTAAATGCCAGGCCCTGCTTTTAAAAAACAAAGGAAAAGGAATAAGGAGAAGTATTGTATATTTTTGCAGCAGAGATTCTCTGCATAGAGATGTACTCACCAGGAAGCTATAGAAGAATTCATGGACAAAGAGGCCCAGCATACAAACCAGGACATATGCCACATGGTAGAGAAAGGCCATATCCAGGATGACTGCTCGGTACCCTCGAGTGAATGTGCCACGGTTTCCGACAAAACTCACCAGAAATACTATTTTATTACAAAGCTAAAGGGAGAAAGAGGTTAGATTTACGCTTATTTATTTCAAAACACACATAAATAGCAGGACATTGACAAAACCTATTATCACAAAGGTTGTCATTTTCTTTCATGATTTCTCATTTTGTAATTTTCTAGCACTGTTGACAAATCTGCATGTAAACATAATATACGCAAAAGTGGTAATCTTTGCAGTTCCAAGAAAAGAGAGGAGAAGGACTAAGGGCCCAGATCTGAATCAAGACAACTGGAATTTAAATTGTGGCTCTTCCCCTTGTTGTTGCATGACCTAGGTCAAGTGACTTAATCTCTGTCGGCCTCAATTGTTTCTTCTGAAAAATTGGAAGAAAAGAATTCCCACCTCATAGAACTCTTTGGAGGGTTAAATGGCATAACGCACATGAACCAATTAGGACAACGACTCTTTAAATGTGCTACTTTTAATTATTTTTCCAAATTATAAGCAATACACTAAATATTTTTATTACACTGGAAAGACAACAAAAAAATATTTCAGATAACTCAGAGATCTGTCCTTGATCTCTCCACCTAGACTTTCTCTACTGAGTATTATTTTAAACAAATTTGTGATTAAAAAAATTCTTTTTGCATTTAATTTACTTTACATACATGGAAAATATAAATAAACTTATGTAAATAGATTAAAATATACTGCACGTATATATATTTTCTGATTTCAACGTGTGGTAATTATTCAATAAATATTTTGGAGTGTTTATTACATGCCTACAATCATGTAGACTATATTCAAACTATATTTAAAATTACCTTTTGTGGCATAATTTTGGAATATAGAAATTTATACTGATACTCTGTCAAAAACAATGATTTATGCAGTGATTTCCAAAAAAATGTTATCATAAAACTTGGTGCCATCTATTTGGTTCTAGAATCACCGCACTATTTGCAAACCGAAGAGATAATTATGCTGCTTAGTCATCAAGAAAAGAATTACAGATTCCAAGATTCCATAGTTTCCTCTTCCAAATTGGTCCCTGAGTTCTTTAGATTATCTAATGGCTCCATATTTGTCTTTATATGTCTGTGGTAGACTAATTACTTTTGTGTGTGGCCTTCATAGCCTCATCTTGTAACTCCCACCCAGGTGATTGTGTGTTAGGGTAATTGTGGCCCACCAAGGGGATTGGTCAGTTTTGCCTTAAAAGAGAGCCAATTCCAGAGCAAAGAGGGGAGGAGCCCACCACCACCACCACCACCACCAAGGAAGCAGAGACTAGCAGCAGAGACCCAGCAGCAGGGGACGGTGTGATGGGCTTCCCAGCCCATAAAGAGAGAAAGCTGAGTGCCTTTGGGCAGAGACTGAGGGCCAGGGAGAGGCTATCCTGATGGAAGAACTGTAATCTGAGTATTCTTGAGCCTGAATGGTAACTGTTACTTCCCTAATAAACCCCATAATTGCGAGAGTGGTCTGTGAGTTCTGTACGGCCATTGCAACGAATTATCCAACCTAGCAGAGAGTGCTGTGAGAGGGATAGTTGGTGTCAGAATTAGGAAAGATGGCAGAGAGAGGAGGAATATCTGACTTCCGTCTCATGGGAATCAGCCTTGGGCTGTTGATCTTGATCTCCTTGCCCCTTGTAAAGCAAGAGGAGGTCAGACACTGCCCTCAAGCCGTTTTTACATGTCTAAACCCAATTTTGGAAACCCTGGTGCCGTACTGGTTAAGAGCTAGGCTGCTAACCAAAAGGTCAGCGGTTCGAATCCACCAGGCGCTCCCTGGAAACCCTAGGGGACAGAATTGACTCAATGGCAATGGTTTTTGTTTTTGTTTTTTTTAAATATAATTTTGGGAAAAAAGGTTGCTCTTTGCAACATTGTTGATTTTTTCCAATATTTATAAAGGCAATTACCTTACGGGATCATTTTAAACAAAGTAAGAAGGAGTATAACATTTTGAGGCAGAAGTGAAATTTGAGAAGTTGGCACATCTTTTCCTTTAACCTTCTGAAGCCCAAATCAATACAGATGAAATGAGAAATGGGTTATTACTGCATGTTGTGAAGATAGACAAACCAAATCAACAACACAAAAACTAGGAAATCCAAACGTTCTCAGATTTTGCCCATGCTGCTTAACTGTCCTCTCAATACTCTATTGCTTCTTTCATCACCTTAACAATTTGAATAATGTCAAACAGAAAATCTTACTTCAGTATTTAGTGTTTCATCATTACCTGTTGTTGCTATTATTAAACATAGCTTCAGTATACTGGATGTCTTTATATTTACTGTCTAAGAGTAGGTTTATTATTATAAGAAATTATTATTGAAAACCAGGGAATATATGTAAGGTGTTGGTACAGGGTAGTAACTGACAAAAAAAAACCCATGAAAATGATGAAAGAGAGAATGTCTGCGTGAAGTAATATTCAGTAGTTTACTCTTTAAATGGTCTTCAGTGGCTATTATTTAAGTTCACATTATTTATTTAGACTTACCCACTATAATTCATCAGTATGAAATACAAATATGAAGTTCTATAAAAAACAAGGTTAAAAATTGGAATCATGACTTTCAAAAGGATAAACGAAATATTTAGGATAAATTGTTTATATGTTGCTTCCTGATCTCTACTTCTGTAAACTGGATCACAAAAATTGTGTGGGAAAATTATTTATAAGCCCTATTCTCCCCCTAAAAAATACACTGAATTTAAGTTCTCAAAAAGAACAATACATTTCAGTTCCCAAATAATGCAAAAACATAGATACATTTCTGCCTAAAAGGGCAACTGCCATCTTTATAAGAAAAATAAAGATGTGCCTTATTTGTTTTCAAGTTTTTTTTTTTTTTCAACCTTGATCTAGAGCTTGATGGATATGTTTCTGTTTTCTTGATCAAGTCTCAAAGGACTCGGAGTACAGTTGATATTGTGGTATCATCCACTTCCACAGAGATCAGAACAAGAAAATTGTTCCACTTTGTTTTGAAGAATTCATACTAAAGAGAAATAAGTGCAAGGCTAATGATTTGAGTAGGAAAGAAGCTGAAATTTGGTTTCGGTTGCACCATGACCTCAAAATTTACAAATCGTTTTATATAGCATTTTCCATACAAGCTGGAAATATTTATGCCAGGAACGAAAAAGTTGCAAAAAATTCTCCCTTTTTAATACTTACCATTTCATGACTTATTTGATGCTAAGAAGCCCTGGTGGAGCAAGAATTAAGAGCTCCACTGCTAACCAAAAGGTTGGCAGTTTAAACTCACCCAGAGGCTTGGAAAGAGAAATACCTGGCCATCTACTTCCATAAAGATTACAGCCAAGAAAACTCTATGGGGCAATTTTACTCTGTCACACAGGATTACTATGCGTCAGAAACAACTTGACAGCTCCCAACAACAACAACAACTAGTCTTTTATTTGTCAATAACATCATGTAGGCAATCATAGTTCGTATGGCAAAGGTCAATGTGGCAACAATAAATGGAGGTTATAGGAGATGAGTTGGAGCCTGGTGGTGCAGTGGTTACACCGTCAGCTGCTAACCCAAAGGTCAATGGTTCTAACCCAGTGGTTCAAACCCACCATCTGCTCCTCGGAAGAAAGATGTAGCAAAGTCTGCTTCCATAAAGATTACAGCCTTGGAAACCCTATGGGGCAGTTCTACTCCATTCTTAGGGTAGCTGAGTCGGAATGGACTCAACAGCAGCAAAGTCAACAACATAATCATCTAACATGATTACACGGTCAAAATGCCCTAGACAATTAACCCATTGCCAGAAGCAGGCTGCCACATCTTTCTTCCGCAGAGGTTTGAGCTGCCAACCTTTCAGTTAGCAGCCGAGCACTTAACCACTGTGACACCAGGGCTCCTTTCAGAGCTGGGCAAGATGGTTAAAGGGCCATGCTCTCCTGAGTTGCTATGGAAAGGGCCCTAAAGTCAGCACACAAATACCAATCAATATAAATGACCGTAACTGTTACGTATTTTTTTCTTTCTCCATCAATTCTTCAAAACGGCCCCTTCTATGTTTTTTTGTTGGGTATGGGGGAAACAGGGTGAAGGTGTGGGAGAAAAACACGGAGGGAAATGGCATCGACGTAAGCTTTCTGGACAGTATTTTAAAAGTGATACAACATCCAAATTATTTACCATCACGTCTTCTAAAAAAAGAAAGCAAAACTAATGTCCATTTGTCAATTAATGCGTATAAAAACAAGGTCATTGATTTAAATTAGGTAAATTAATTATACAGTAAAGTAATATTTTCATATATACTTTATAATTCATGGAACAGTGCAGTCTAGTGGAAAGATACTGGATTAGAAGTAAGGCTATCTGGGTTTATATCTTGGCTCTGCCATTAATTACTGAGTTACTTTGGTCAATCCTCCTGATGTCTGTAGGATTTTGTTTCTTCATTTATAAATGAAATGCCTAGAAATGAATAATCCTTAAGGTGTCCCATAGCTTTAGAACTCTATGCAATGTCCTTTAAATTTTACTATTTTATGTGATCATAGAAATGTATAACTGCTATGTCCTTATATCTCCTTTTGGTCTTATTTGATGCTGTGTTCCTGATCAAGAATTCTATCCACATCTTACAGTGTTCCTAAACTGACCTATTTTCCAGCAGTAAATTATAGCCAAAAAAAAAAAAAAAAAGGCTATCTGTCTACTTATTTATTGAAAGGCAAAACTGAATTTATTATCTTGAACTATTCTCATCAACCATGTAAATCACCTTCTTACTAAAAATGAGATGATTTGATTAAAAAATCTCCTTTTCAATAGCATTATATTTTAGGTTTATGTTTAGGTTCTAAGGTCAGTGCATAATGCATAATTTGCATGTAGTCAAAATTACCCCAAAAATCTTTTAAATTGCCTACAAAACAGCACAGTAGAATGGGTGGTGTAAGCTATAGCATCTCTCACTCAATTCAACACGTGCTATTTTCCCTCCAGCGTTGGAGTGGTTTTCTGTTTCTGCAACTGAATACCAGAAGTAGTGGGGAGTACTGAGTGACCAAAAGAGATGAAAAAGTGTGTGTGTGTGTAAAAGACAGAGAGAGAGAGAGAGAATATGAATGTTTTGGCTAAGAATATATCATTGAATCTGTATATGTTAAGTGAACATATGGTGGGACTCAACCTTATAGCTTAACAGTGACAGGAGACCCCCCCCCCAACCCAGAAAACTATCTACAAGTAAGTAGGAAGAGTGTAGCATTATTATGTCTGAACATTGTGGCCTGTTGTTGATAGACAAGTTATCCACTAAACTCTATTTGCTTCTCCTCACTTCAAAATTGTGAGGCCAAGTTTCAGCATAAGGAAATATTTCCACATTACAACAACAGTGAAAAAGACAAATAATTTACAAATACCATTAAATAAGCTACATATTTCCAGGCACTATCAAGAAAGAAAAACATAGTGTAGATAAGAAGACTTCAGAAGATAATAAAAAAAATCCTTCATAGGTATATACTGCATTATTATGTATTATAACAAAATATCTAAAAATCTAAACAACAAAAAATAATGGAATGGTTAAATGAATTACATAATATCCATATGACTGGATATATTATATGGTTATTAAATGAGGTTCTCAAATAATTTTAATGGCATTGAAGAATATTAAATTATGCCAAATATATAAAATATGTATTTATGTTTGCCAGAATAACAATAATTTTCATTACCAATAACTAAAAATGCAGTGTAGAGAGGGGAAGATAAGGTACTGGGTTATAAAATGTGCTTCATAAGACAGAAATAACACTCTCATTTTTGAAACACCTCAAATATTGAGATAACCTGTGCCAAGGTAGAGAAGCCAGTTGCAATCCAGGTAACACTTTGGTTTTTAGAAACAATAAAGATAATAACAATTAAGTGTCACAATAAGCAACAACCAGTAATAGTAAGTGCTCAGAAAACAGAGTGAAGGCTTTTTCTCCCACTTGATTCCTTTTCCACAAAAGGGACTTTCTGTTTTTGCTTACCACTGTGAAAGACACTGAGTCCAGAAACAACTCTCTGTGAACCAAAATATTCACACCGTTATGATCAGGGTAGCACTGTTCTGCAATTAAATAGCGCTTTGCATAGTAGATTCTTGGTAAATGGTAGCCGTTACTACTACTATTATCATTCCCACTGTTACTGGTCTTTTCTAAGTCTTTCACACTAATTGTCTGAACTTGTCTTCTCAACATTAGACCAGGCTTTAATATCTTCATCTCACTCCTAAGAGGAATAAAACTTGGAGGCTCACTGATTTGGTTAAGATTTAGCATTCTGATTCTCATTAAGGCTAAACTATCAGGTAGGTTTTTTTTTTTTTTTCCTGTTTCTGATAACTGTAATTTACCACTCATAGTTTCATCTGTTACGAACATTTAAGTATAAATTAAGTTTGTAAATATATAATTATTATATAAATAAATTACTCTAAAACCTAAGATACAAAACATGATTGATATGTTTTCATTTACTATTTTTTCTCTTTTCTGTCTCCTGGGAAATGACAAACTATACATAATTTTTTAATGACCTTTTTATATTAAAAGTTAAGATTATTATTCACTAAAACTTTTTTATTAATCCATAAAATATAAAACTATAGGTGACAACTTTTCTATCAATATCTACAGTAACAAAATTACAATTATTCCATCCAATTTGTCCTAAATCTAACATGATTATTTGGTCAAAATGCCCTAGACTGGTAAACCATAAGGTACATTTAGGGGCTGTGCAAACAGATGCTTTATGCTGTGTAAGGGTATTAGAGTACCTACAGATTCATACAGTTAATAAAATATATAAATCTCCATGTATGTTCCTTCTCATGAAGAAATTAAAGCATAAAACTTGTCTATCATATAAAACACATAAACAATCATTTCTTATGGTGGAATTATTCTCCCCAAAAAGAGCCCTGGCAGTGCAACAGTTAAGAGCTCAACTGCTAACCAAAAGGTTGGCGGTTTGAGCCCACGAAGTGGTTCTGCAACAGAAAGACCTGGTGATTGGCCTCCGTAAAGAATACAGCCCAGGAAACCCTATGGGGCAGCTCTACTCTGGCACAAGGGGTTGTTACGAGCCGAAAATTGACTAGATGGCACCTAACAACAACAACATTCTCCCCAAATTATGCAGAAGCATCTCTCTATCCTGTCCCATTTGAGGGAGAAAAGAAAAAATTCCAATATATTTGGTTTTCCCAATAGACATCTGAACGTTATTCTTTATCTTCTTACATACTCTTGGTCCAAAGATAAACAAAATGAAAATCGGTGAGTCTGAGACATACACTTCTGGATGGCAAGGACCACATCGTTTATCTCTTGGTCTTTTCAGTCTATTATACAGCAGAGGACTGGCAAATGTTTCTATTGTTGGCCCAACTCTCTCTAGATATGGTTTCACTTTATCAAATTTGGATTTCCTCATTTGGATTAATGTCTTATTGAGGTCCAGTTACCAGTTTATATTATTTGCTCCTTCAAATAATATAGTTAAATATCCAATGTATTAAAGTAAAAAGAAGCCAAACACACTAACAAGTTTAGAAGAATTTAGATAAATTCAGATTCTCTAATTAGCTTGGTTGGCAATATTGCAATTTTAGCTTATTTCCAAAGCATTAAAAGTAGAAGTTCAGTTCACGTTAACACTTTTCGAGTGCTTATTACCGTGTCAGGTATTAAAGTAGGAAAAAATAGAGTTGTAGGGGAGTGAAGAGAATAGGATTACACTTACGAATGTGAAGCCCTCTGCCCTCAAAAAAACCTACAAAATAGTATATTTGGTACTTTACAGATAAACCTCTTTTACGTATAGTACACTTCCCTTTATTGACAATGATTGAGGAGTAATTGATAATTTGGTTGTCTGAATGTTCTATTTAACTGGGAGTTGTCATATACATCATGTCCAATTTTTGAAGAATAATAATATAATTAAGAGTGCATAAACATAGAATTGGCCATATTAGCTCAGCTTTATCATTCTCAAAACTTTGGTAGACTATTCCACTTATTCATTATCAATAAATATGTGCCATGTATTTTATGTCAAGGCAATGTAAATGTATGAAAATACAAGGATAATTATTCAGTCACTCATAAATTAATTTATTTAAGAAATATTTTTGAGTACCCTGGTGGCGTAGTGGTTAAGAGCTACGGCCGCTAACCAAAAGGTGGGCAGTTTGAATACACCAGGCGGTCCTTGGAAACCGTATGGGGCAGTTCTACTCTGTCCTGTAGGGTCACTATGAGTCGGAAGCAACTTGACGGCAAGTTTTTTTTTAATATTCCAGACAGTGAATTATCAATCATTATCCTTAGTAACTGTATCATGCAGTATAGGAGATAAGGTATAAATACAGAGACTAAATGATAAAACATTGTTAGAAACCTAGTAAAATGTATAGAAAGTACTTTAAGTATTCAGCAGGCATATTAACAATATTTATTTGCTTACCTGGCCATTTGTTCAATCACCAACTTGATCATTTAGCTTCTCTTAATATCTCTTTATGGCTTTTCCATGCAGAAAATTGTCTAATTAATCCCTTTAAAATTTTATCTCTTGAGTACAATTATTTCTATAAGTGTATTATTTGCTATTTCAAATTGTCCTCTGGCTTGTTTATTCTAAACTTATCTAACTCAAATTTTAAAATATGCTCCTCTTGTTCTAGTATTTTAAAATTTGGTAAAAAAAATTAATCTCATCTGTGCCTTTCACAAATTTGTTCACATAAAAAGAGCCCCAATTTCATATCTTCTCATATAACAATCATTTTTCTTTGGTCATTTGATAAAGGATACTTACTTCTAAAATTCCACTGAATATAATTTAATCTTTCTTGGATGATTTAGAAGTCACTTTAAGATGCTAATAGAGGCTCGGAGTCATTTTTGTCAATAGCTGTAGGTATAGGATGTGGAAGGCATTAAAATTGGATTGGATTAAATTGATTGAATTGATTGAAGAACTGGGTCATGCCCCCAATGCTACCTTCTTAAATCAACTTTTGACTTGTCATTTTTTTTCTTTCTTTCAGAATTAAATAAGAAATGTATAAATTAAAGTCTGGTTAAATTGGATTCACAATACATTAGAACTTACTGTATAATGAATTGGAGCAGACTGTTAGGACAATTTTACATTTAATACACTTTTAATTATAACAGTACAAAGCCAAGTACTTACATTAGCTGCACCAAGAAGTATTAACGTAGGCCCAAGACCTATTGTATATATTGATCTGAGCATTACTGACACAAGAAATGGTCGAATACCCACAGGTTTGGGGAAGAAAAACAGCAGAGATGTGCAGATCGCAACTGTTATCCAAAGAAGAACTGAGAACAATGGAGAAAGTGTACCTGTAAAATGTAGAAGAATTTTATTTTTTACTGAGAATAAAACCAGAAAATGTTAAGCTGTTTGCTGCTCTGTTTTATATAATATAGTGAGTCAAGCAAGAGGACACTGAAATTCAAAACAATTTACACTTTATATTTAGAGGAAATTTCTTTGAACACATTACTAATTATTACATTTCCATAAAATGTATATTAATTTCAGGCTGCTTAATATTCACTAGTTAATGCTTCTCCCATTAACTCTGAGAGAGTTGTTCATCTTTCCTATGGGAGTAATTTGCTAAACAGTTTTCATGGACCTATCTCACTTGGGAATCTTAATTCAAAATTTATGATTAATGACCATTAAATGTACAGTTAAATCATGTAAAATCAGGTATTTTTTCATTAAACTCATACTTTCTCCTGTTCTATTATTATCATGTTTTTATATTATAAGTTCTGAAGAATCCAGAATATAGGCTATTTATCTTTGAATAAAATAGACGCAAGTTTTAACTATTAAAACACACAAGCATATATACAGTAAAACCTGTGAAAGCTGGAACCCGTGTAAGGCAGAAACCTGTCAGAAAAGAAAACTTAAATATTGTCCACCTGTCAAAGGTTGAAAACTTGCAAGACTGAGAAAAACAAGGCAGTCCCATGCAGCTCCGGCTCTTGCAGGTTTCACTGTATATGTATGTGTGTATATGTATGAATGTGTGTAGTAAAGGCCACTCAGGTTCTAAAACAAACGCTGAGCTATTAAATATCAGAAAACAAAAGTTACAAATGTCTTAAAATGAACTCCATTTAGGGACCTCCCCAAAAGGGGGGTTAAAAATATATTTCCTTTTAAAAAAGTAGAATTCATTGCAGTTTGCACTGACATGTGGATTCACAGAATTCCCTTCTGAAGGTTATATGGTGCTGCGTTCGTAGAAGTAAATTGAGGGGGAAAGAAACTTGGGCTGATTAGATCAGCTCTGGCACCTCAAACACTCATCTATCGGCCGATGTAGTCAGAGGGGAAATGACAAAGTGGAGATCTTCCAACAGTTCCTTTCGCAAATTTTCCATGACTGTTCTTATCTCTTTTGGCCACACCTCTCTTTATTATCTATAAATTTCACTTTTGGATGCAAAACACCTTGGGGACTTTGGTGTGCAGAGCTTTTGTACTATCATGGGATTATCTGGACTCCTTAAACTAATTTCTGTATAAGCCTTTAGTTCACAGTGACTGTGAACAGCTCTCAAAAGTAGGAGGAAAATCCTGTCAGATGTTAAAAAAAAAAAAAAAAAGTCAATGACCAGCACTAGCTTGACATGTTTATTTTTGCAAAGTTTGTTCTTATGTTTTTTCTTTAAGCAAACAGTGATGACGGGGGTTGGAAAACAAATTTACGGATCATACAAGACTACTTTGGGGATGAGTTAGAAAAGGAGTCAATTGCTCTGAAAATTGCATTCAATCCCTGTCCTCAAGCAATGCTAACAAGATATGTACCCAATTCATGTTTATTATGATGTTGGCTTGTAAGCACTCTGTCTACCAAAACACAGCTTGACCACTGTCTTGACTTCACAGACCTCAAAGAGCCAAAGAGAAGATAATACCTTCAACTTTCCCTCATACTTGTTGGGGCTCTATCAGAATGCAAGTTCTATAAGGGTAAGGAACACCTCTGTGCCTATCACAGTTCCTGGCATACAGTAAGAAATAAATAATTGTTCATTAAATAAACAAACAAAAATATATTCTGTGAACTTGTTTGGAGCAAGTAGATAAGTCTCCATTTATAAGTTCTCCAAGTTGTGGAGCTTCATTCTTAAGTATATTAAAACGGCTAACATCTTCAGACATTTAACAACTTTCAGCCAGTATTTGACTCTTCATAAGCAATGTCTTAGTGTGGCATTCTTATTATGGAAGTCCCAGCTTTGGCACCAATGGATAGTCACACTCTGCATCACCATAAATACCTGATGAGCTAGATAGATCTTGACTACTCTTTCCCAGACAGCATCTGGCTTCCTTACTTCCCCTTGATCAAGCAAAAAATGATAAACCATGCACTTAAAACTGGTGTTGATCCCTCTGTAGAAAGAACTCATGGAGTACCTAGCATACTGCCTTGCACATAGTTAATATTAAATAAATATCTGTGGAATAAATAAAAGTTATTTAAAAACATTATTGATTCACATTGAAGTTTCTAATTACATTCTATGTTGTTGTTGTTGTTGTTAGATGCCATTGAGTCAGTTCCAACTCATAGCAACCCTGTGTACAACAGAACAAAACACTGCCCGGTCCCTGTGCCATCCTCACAATCATTGTTATGCTTGAGCCCACTGTTGTAGCCACTGTGTCAATCCATCTTGTTGAGGTCTTCCTCTTTTTCGCGGACCCTTTACTTTACCAAGCATGATGTCCTTCTCCAGGGACTGATCCCTCCTGATAACATGTACAAAGTACGTGAGACGCAGTCTCGCCATCCTTGCTTATAAGGAGCATTCTGGCTGTATTTCTTCCCAGACAGATTTGTTCATTGTTTTGGCAGTCCATGGTATATTCAATATTCTTCATCAACACCATAATTCAAAGGCATCCACTCTTCTTCGGTCTTCTTTATTCATTGTCCAGCTTTCACATGCATATGAGGCAACTGAAAACACCATGGCTTGGGTAAGGTGCACCTTAGTCCTCAAGGTGACATCTTTGCTTTTGAACACTTTAAAAAGGTCTTTTGCAACAGATATGCCCAATGCAATGCATCATTTGATTTCTTGACTTCCGCTTCCATGGGTGTTGATTGTGAATCCAAGTAAAATGAAATCCTTGACAACTTCAATCTTTTCTTCATTTTCATAATGTTGCTTATTGGTCCAGTGGTGAGGACTTTTGTTTTCTTTATGTTGAGGTATAATCCATACTGAAGGCTGTGGTCTTTGATCTTCATCAGTAAGTGCTTCAAATCCTCTTCACTTTCAGTGAGCAAGGCTGTGTCATCTGCATAATGCCTGTTGTTAATGAGCCTCCCTCCAGTCCTGATGCCCCTTTCTTCGTCATATATTATAAGATAAATATAATTATATGTATAATTATATTTGTAATTATATCTATAGCAGCAGTCATATTGATTTCCACCTGAAGATTTAATTGCTAAAAAAAGAAATGGAAATTTCTCTGATAAACTCTAGAGAAGATAGTACAGAATGTCAAAGCCAAATTTTACACATTAATAGTGGAAAAGGGGGAGTATTCTCTATTTTTAATACTTTATATCTGTATCAATTTTCTATAGTGAGCATGTATTATTTTTATAATGGAAGTTTTTTTTTTTTTTTTTTTAGAATTAACCCTTAACATTTTTCAATCTTAGATATTATGAAGTTTGTCCTTCATAAAAGAAAATTCACACAGCAAAACTAGAGACTTCAATTCAATTCACATGATGGAACTCTGCCATTTACTTCACACTGAATTGCTTATAGTTTTCTGTATAGAACATGCTATTTCTTATCTCCCCATCTCTCTCCATTCCTTTTCCTCCCACATAGCCTTACAAGATTTCTCCATTTCCCTACCTCAGTCCAGCTGAAGTAGGCATCCATGGATAAATCCATGGACTATTTTTAATATTGTGTCTACTCATGTGTTGGTCCCTAGACAAGACCATGAGCCTCTTAAGGACAAGACCACTTTACTAATCTTTGTATCCTTAGGGACTAGCACAGTGCCTGGTACATAGTAACCCTCTCTCAATGATTGTTATTAAGTTGAATAACTTGAAATCACCTTGAAGAATGTATTTTCTTTAATACAAAGCCGTTGAGGGGAAAAAGGAATCACTGGATTATACCCAAATTAAGAAAAAAATATTTAAAGATCACATGCTATCTGGATATAAGAAATTCCTGTGGACTAGTTGCATCAGAAACACCTGGGGAGTGTGTTAATACATATATATCACTCTCTATATATATTCCAGGACTCCACTCTAAAATTACTGGGAAAATATTCCTAAACCTCAGGTTCTTCACTTATAAGGTAAAGATGGTCCTGTGCCATCTTCATGATCATTGGTTTGAGTCCATTGTTGTGGCTATTGTGTCAATCCATCTCATTGACGCTTTCCTTCATTTTTGCTGACCCTCTACCAAACAGGATGTCCTTTTCCAGCAATTGATCTTTCCTGATGAAATGTACAAAGTAAGCAAAATGAAGTCTCATCATCCTCGAATATTTTGTTTTTATATCTGCTAAGACAGATTTGTTCATTCATTTGGTAACCCATGGTATATTTAATATTCTTCACCAGCATCATCATTCAAGTGCATCAATTCTTCTTCTATCTTCCTTTTTCACCATCCAACCTTTGCGTGCATATGAGGTGATTGAAAAGATCATAGCCTAGGTCAGACACACCTTTATCATCAAAGTGACATCTTTGCTTTTTAAAACTTTTAAAAGAGGTCTTTTGCAGCAGATTTGCTCAATGCAATACATCTTTTGATTTCTTGATTGACACTCCCATGGACATTGATTGTTTTTCCAAGTAGAATATCATTGACAACTTCAATTTTTTTTCCCATTTATCATATGTTTTATCAGTCCAGTTGTGAAGATTTTTGTTTCCTTCACATTCAGGTGTAAAACATACTAAGGACTATAGTCTTTGACTTTAATTAGTAAGTGTTTAGCTGCTATTATTATTATCAATATTACTGTTACAACTACTATTATTCAGGCAAGTATTAAAAACATATTAAATGTTTTGCTTTCCCTGACTGAACAAAAAGTAGATTTCCAGATGGTTGGTATTTCCCATTACCACCATATTCCATTTACAGTAAGTGGCAGCAGAGGCTATCTCTATACATTGGTTCTGGTGGTCAGGTAAGGGATATCATGGAATGGCACTCAGGAAAAATTATGTCCTCTATGAAGGGGGATGTGATATCTATATGCTACCAATCCAATCATTCATGTAGAAAGGTCCTGGGTTGGAGGAAAAAATGTTAACTTTCTACTCTGAGATCTGCTACCTTTCTAGCTTCTCTGGGCCTCCACCTCATCATCTGGTAAATGCGTATTTCATATTAGACAATTTCCAGAATTCCTTCCATCTCTAAGATTTAATGCTTCTATTAACTGACACTCTACAATTTATTCTCAGGGGTTCTGAGTACAGATGATACTAATTTATCTTCTCATGCTAGACTTCTCTCCTCACAAGAGTTACATTCTTCCATGTCAAGAGGGATATTGTCACTAACTGAGACCAAACACAATGAAGAGAAAGCTGTTCCCACCTCCCTGTGTATTTGCAACTTCCCTACAAGGGTGGCCAAATATTTGCTACATTTTCTACTGTTTTTTGAACACACACATTCACTTCACTGCCAAATATTCTTCTTTTATCATCGATATGTCTTCCAAAACAATTTTAAAAAAACCTTTATTCATGATGACTCATATTACAGCTAAAAGTTTAGGATTTTGATATCTGTGTTACTTATAAAGGATCTGTGGAATAGAAAATTACTACTGGACTCCCACTTCCCTTTCCACTCACCTCTAGTTCATTTGAAATAGACCTAAATACATGTTGCTCTTGTCACACCATTCCTTTCACTAGGATTCCCTTTATAGTATGAATATTTACCCTATAACAACAACAAAAACAACTACTAAGCTCTCTCAGTACTTACCAGGCACTATTCTAAATGCTTTACCTAGACCATATTATTAAATTCTCACAATAACCCTATGAACAGATGAATTACAAAAGCACTTCATTGTTATTACTTGCTAATTTCTTTCATCTCTTTTTGCCAAGCCATTCTTGGTAACTGCATTCTTTTTTTGCCAAGCCAAGTTATTTACTTGATTGTTTCCCAAGCCTCTAAAATACTTTTCTATGCACTTTGCTAGACTTAAAAAAGGTCAGTATCCACAGTCCTACCCTTTACCATTGGTTTAAAATCAGGAAAGTTGTGCGTCAGGGTTGTATCCTTTTCCATACTTATTCAAACGGCAAGCTGAGCAAATAATCCGAGAAGAAGAACTTGGCATCCGGATTGGAGGAAGGTTCATTAACAACCTGCGATATGCAGATGACACAACCTTGCTTGCTGGAAGTGAAGAGGACTTGAAGCACTTACTGATGAAGACCAAAGACTACAGCCTTCACTATGGATTACACCTCAACATAAAACAAAAATCCTCACAGTTGGGCCAATAAGTAGCATCATGATAAACGAAGAAAATATTGAAGTTGTCAAGGATTTCATCTTACTTGGATTCACAATCAACACCCATGGAAGCAGCAGTCAAGAAATCAAAGGACATATTGCATTGGGCAAATCTGCTGCAAAAGACCTCTATAAACTATTCAAAAGCAAAGATGTCACTTTGAGGACTACAGCGCACCTGACCCAAGCCATGCTATTTTCAATTGCCTCATATGCATGTGAAAGCTGGACAACAAATAAAAAAAACTGAAGAATTGATGCCTTTGAATTATGGTGTTGGAGAAGAATATTGAATATACCATAAACTGCGAGAAGAACAAACAAGTCTGTCTTGGAAGAAGTACAGCCAGAGTGCTTCTTGGAAGCGAGGATGGCGAGACTTCATCTCACATACTTTGTACATGTTATCAGGAGGGATCAGTCCCTGGAGAAGGACATCAAGCTTGGTAAAGTAGGTCAGAGAAAAAGAGGAAGACCCTCAATGAAATGGATTGACACAGTGACTGCAACAATGGACTCAAGCATAACAACGATTGGGAGGATGGTACAGGATCAGTGTTTCGTTCCGTTGTACATAGGGTCACTATAAGTCAGAACTGACCTGACAGCATCTAACAACTAACAACAACACCCTTTACCATATTTCTCCTATTTTTCAAATTTCACTTAAAATGAGATAATTACTCCAGTTCTTTGCTTTTGTAAAATCTCATACACTATTAGTTTAATAAAATTAATTTGACAGTCAATATCCTTTATTTCTTTATTATTATATTCATCTTATGCTGTATGTTTTAAAGCCTGAGATTATAAAAGTTTAATTTTCTATTTGTTATCTCTGACATAGTATTATGGAATCAAGAGATTTTCAGGTCACATGTATGCTCATTATAAGAACCTTGAACAAGACAAAAAGCACAGAGAATATAAATTCCAGTATTTAAGGTAATCATAATTAATTATTTGTCATATAGTCACCCTCATTTTTCCATATATATTATATAACTGAGACGATACAGTATAATAAACTACTTTGGTAATAACAATTAGGTAGAAATGCCAAAATATTGTTCATACCTTTATTTGCCAATATATAATATAGCTCTAACAGCTCTTCTCTATATGAGCTTTTTAAAAAATAATACTTCTATTGATCATTGCTTTCTGCCTTCCTCATTTATCAGCCATCATACTCTACTTACCATTTACTCTACTTACAATAAATATAGAAAAATCTATTTAACAAGAATTAAATTAGTCTTATTTTGAAGCTCTCGATAGTTAGAAAATATCCTGAGTATTATTTTTGGAACTTTAAAATGTTCATCATTTTAAAGAAAGACCAGCACTTGCCTTCATCTCCATCATCCCCAAATGGGTAGAAGAGGGCAACAGCTAAATTGATGAACACGGCCAGGTTGAAGGAAATGCTCCCCCAGAGAGAGATGTGTCTTGAGAACCAGAACAGTGCAGGGTTATCTAGTGGGCAAGAAGTGAAATAGGACAGAACAGAAAAATAAATTCTGGTTTCAACACATGAGCCCTACACAAAGAATATTTACAAATATATTTTTATAATTTATTATAAAGCATATTTAAGTCAACTTTTATTAAAATTTATTTTAGAAAGTTTATTAAGATAATCAGCATCCCAAGAGTATTTTCTATTTGATTTTTTTCTTTTATCTTTTAGCCACCAAAATCATCTGAGAAGACTGAGTAATTTTTCAAATGCTAAAGGTGGTCAGAAAAGGTGATTCCATAATAACTCTCTCTCATCTATCCCTAGAGCAGCTTAGGGGAAAGAGAGCTCAGCCACTGCCTGAGGCCCCTTTTAACGGGATGGTGTACCTCCCTGTATAATTTGGTAAAATGGATAAATTGGTCCCATTCCCATACCTTCAAGTGACATAAAAAAAACTAAAACCCCATACTAGCACAGATATATCTCCAGTGAAAATTCCTGTGACATACTTAACAGGTGCCCGAAACTCTGAAACTGAATAGTATGGCATAGTACTGTTTATTGGGAACTAGTGATTTATAATATCTAAATTTTAAAGCTTAATGCTTCCTAAGAACTTGCTGGGTTTGAAACAGAAGAAGAAAATGAAAGATTCAGTAAGAATAGCTAATAAATAGGACAGGCTTTGCTGAACATTTTCAGAAAAGGGATACTGTGTTTGTCATCAGGAGTGAATTAGTAAGTGCATCTCCTGAATATAGTTTACATTAACAGAAAACTGTTCTTTCTCCCCCTTCCAAATAATTTAATAAATACATAAAGAATATCAGTTTGAATGGGAGAAAAACTCATTAGCTTACCTGGGACACCCACAATTCACTCATTATCTAAGTCTTAATATCTTAATATCAGGATTAAAATATTGGGTTTAATGGCAAGGGAAAGGTACATCAATATTCAAGTAGAAATTATAAACTTTTCAGATTTGTATCATGTGAATTCCAATCTAGGTTCTGCTGCTTAATTACAAACTGCACTTCACTTCAGTGTATCTTGTTTTCCTTCTCCTAGGATGGGGTATTCTCCCACTGACCTCCACACCTCATGGGGTATGTTAGCAGTACTGAGGGAATGTTATTCTTTAATACTAAAAACATAAATGAGCCCTGAATTTCTAACGGCAATGTGCTTGTTTAAAGGATTGTTATAGGCTAGTGTAATAGGCTATTCAAGTCTATTTAAAAAAGATAGGCTGAAATTTTAAAACATGACACCGAAGATAGCGGTTTGAAGATATTTATCAGCCTTAAGCACCAATGACATTGAAAATTTAACTTTGACTTTAGTACAGTTAGACTTATATTTTTATTTTTCTTATAATCCTAAATTAGCCTTTCCATGATTGCTATGGCATTTAACTGACTAATGAATCACAAAGTGTAAACATCTGCATCTCATCATTCCTAAGATAGGAGTCCTTGTTTATAAAAGCAGCATGTTAAGACGAAATTAGATGTTGATGCACACATTTGTAATAACAAATCCTTGCTTCTAAGTTGATCAAATGAATTAGATTCTATGCATAATAACTTGCTTCCAATTTTTAAACGTAAAATATACACTGAAAATTATTTTAAGATTTATTTTTTGATAAATGACAATATATTTATGAAAAAAGCACGGACCCATGAGCATGAATTCCTTATTCAATTAACTTATTTATCAAGGACAAAATGTATGTTTTTCAGTCTCAAATCAAAATTACTGAGTCTTCATATGTCTTTTGGACACCCAGAATTATCACTGATTTCCATAAGGTTCTATGTGGTAAAATGCTGAGGGAGAGTTATTTATTTTTTCAAACATTCTGATAAGAATACATAAAACCGTATGCTACAATCATATGTCCAAAGATGGTGTTTCTCATGCTCCCAAGCTCAAATTAATAAACCTTAACCATTAAAGTTCCTAGAAAACTAGAAAGATGAAACACTGTCAAATAGAGTTACTGAGAACATATACCTACTTGTAAACCTTCCAAGTGACAGAAGAGACCTATCATTTTTGCTGTTGTTGTTGTTAAAAATTCATTATACTCCTTATCTGAGAAAATGAACTGAAATGAAATTTTTTAATTCAGTTTTTCCAAACAGACTTGAGTTTATACCTGAAATAATCAGTAATGGCTGTTCTACTATGCTGATTTTTAACTGTAAAATTATAATATTGCTCTATTTAAACATAAGTGTCCCCAAATTTTTAATTTGTTTGATTTAAGGAGATAAAGATATGTTAAAAGGAAGAATGACTCAGAAATTTTAAACAATCTTCTCAGTCATAGGACAATGAAGGAAGAGCATGCTGGTTCAGATGTCTCTACATCTTATTCATGATTGTTAATACCATGCAGGGCCTATTCACGGATTTCAAACCTGCAGCTGTTAATCTTTTCCTTCAACAGTTCAGACATACAGCTGCAACCCTGCATTGCATAATATTTACAGAACTGTAGGATCATCACTAAAAGATGATCTAATTAGTCGGTGGTTTCTGTTTTCATTAAGCTGCAGGTGTCTCGGCTCAAGTTGTAGACTGAACTTACACTCCTGAGACTACCCAGTGATTTCTGTAACATCAGACTGGCAAGAAATTAAAAAGACAATTTAAATGAATTGTTGTCAATTGTTGCCACGTGTCCCAAAGTACCAATTTATCTAGCATTATGTACAAAACTAACGATTTTAGTTTATTGTCAGCTACAGTACTTACTCCTGATCTTCTTCTGCCACTTCATTTCATTGTAGAGATCGTCTGTTTGCTGGAAAAAGTCATTCACCTTACTTCCTTGTTCATCCCTTTCCGTTGTATTGAACACACGGCACTTGGACTCCCGAGTGAGGTATTCACATATATTAGGGACAGGAAAAACTATTTGTTCCATGGTCCTATCATGACGAACAATCTGAAAACATTAATTTGCATTTGTTTTAGCCTTTTCGACACCTCAGTCTTAGACTATTTCTTGTTTTCAGTGTGTATTTATTAATGATGTTATTAATGCAGTGATGAAGAAAATGTTCCAGCCTGAAATATCTAAAATAGTCCTTTATTGTACTACTTCATATTTTCTCTTTAATTAGTACTATAACCAGTTGCCGTCCAGTCAATTGTAAATCATGATGACCCCACATGTGTCAGAGCACAACCATGCTCCATAAGGTTTTCAGTGACTAATGTTTCAGAGGTAGATTGTCATGTCTTTCTTCCTAGGTTCCTCTGGGTGGACTCGAACCTTCAACTGTTTGATTAGCCGCCAAAGGAGTTAACTCTTTGTACCATCCAGGGACTCTAAACTAAGGCTATACTTTATTATAAATAACAAATACCAGAATCTCTCATTTTTTTCTGGATTAGCATTATACTTTTGCTACCCATTTTTATTTCCATGAAGTACATCAGAGACTAAGAAGTTCTTAATTAGCAAATCATTAAGAACTTCATTAAAATCAAGTTCTTAATTAGCAAACATACCACTTAGAATATCTTAGAATGTATCTTGTTCTTAGTCTGTTCTTCCTAAAAAAAGAGTTATTGGACAACAAATAATATACTTAACATAATGTGCTCTGAGTTCTAAAAGGAAAGGTTATACCACTAAAATATTTTCCTATTCTTAGTAGAACATATTTTTGTAGGTACAACATCCATTCAAGCATATACCCATATGTAAAAATTCATTATTTTGGATCTCAGTTATTTGGTATTTGTGATAGTTTAACTTTAGACAAAATACAGGCTGAAAATTTTCAAGTGGTCTCACTTTGAAGCAAGGGTTTGTGTAGACTAAATATCAATAAATTGTATCTATTTCATGTAGACATACACTGTGTCCAGACCTCCGGTATGAATCAGATTGATCTAAGTCATAAGAGTAATTATATTTCCCTTTGCCATTGACTGGTCTGGTGGTGGGCATGTGTCCTAGTGCTGGAAAATGAGTCATAAGGAGAAGTCTCCTGGAGGGTTTCCAGGAAAGATTTTGCTTCCTGGTAAAGGCAGAGAACCATATGAGAAAAATAAAGGCCAAACATACAAAAACAAAAATTCTTTTTTGTCCATACCCTCTTTCTTCCTACTTAGAACAAAAGACAATATAAGAATGTGATGTCTGGAACTTTGGCAGCCATTTCTCTTATGAGGTTAACATAAGCATGTTAAAGATGGCCTAACAGTAAGACTGAAAAGGCCTGCATGTTTGATGACATTATTGAATCATTTGATCAATTACAGAACCACCTATCTCTAGTCTTCGCATTATATGAGATAGTTAGATAATTTTATTATTTAAGCTATTTTCAGTCTGGTGCTCTGTTATGCACAACTGAAGGCATCCTAACTAATATAATTTATATATACAAACCATATGCTAAATATTATCATAAAACAAACAAGATTAAATTTAATGGAGATAAAAAATTCCTGCATACAGGATAAAACAATAAATTGTACAAAATAAGAATTGGACATATTTGGTATGGTAGGCATTTGTGTGGGGGGAAAAAAGGGTTTACATGATTTAATACTCACTAAGACTCAACAGTATCAAAGGTTTAAAAAAAACTCAGGGTAGGTTAAAGAAAGAACATCATGATTATTATAAACAAAGCTATTCCATTCCTATATGAAATATTATGTTTGATTCTGGTTATCACATTTTACAAAGGGCGCTGACAAACTCGTGGTATTACTGAAGGAAATGGGCATGTGTTAACTGTGAAAAAAAAAAGGATGGATAATTTTTCAATACATTTATTTAACAAATGCTTATTCAGTCCTTGGGTGAGAAGCTCTGAAAAATTCAAATGTGAAACACAAAACAAAGCAAAAACAAACAATGAACTTCAATCTATAAGAGCTTGGAGTGTAGTAATCATGATGGTTCTTCCAATGTCAGAGCAAAGCCATCACGTTAAGAGGGGAGCAAATGTTCTGAACAGTAAATGTTAAAGGAGGGCTAGTTTTAAAAAAAAAAAAACTGTCTAATTATTAAAGCTGTTCAAAATTGGAACAGTATTCTCTGAAATAGTGAGACTTCTATCTTTGGAAGAATGTAAAGCAGAAGTAGGATCATTATAGAACAATTCCTTCTTGGATGGGAGACTAGATTAGGGAATATACAAGGTCCTTCCTATTATCCAGGGTCTATGAGTCTACAAAGGAGCGCTGGTGGCAAAGTGGTTAAGCGCTTCGCTACTAACTGAAAAGTTGGTGGTTCGAACCCACCACCTGCTCCATGGAAGAAAGATGTGGCAGTCTGCTTCCGTAGAGATTACAGCCTTGGAAATCCTATGGGGCAGCTCTATTTTGTCCTATAGGGTCAGTATGAGTCGGAAAAGACTCAACGGCAATGGGCTATGGGTTAGTCTATAAGTTATAGACAATATTACTTTCAACATGATTCATTGTTGTGGGTATGTTCCAGGTGGAGTTGAGTTTTGGAAATACAAAGAAGATCAAGACCAGAGCCCACCTCAAGAAGGGGAAAAATGACACATACAAAGCTAGCAATATTCCCAGTGATAACAATAGTCAAACTGCAGTGGAAGCATAGTGGAATGAAATTAATGAATGCCTGGAGGAAGGAGGGGAGGCTTCTCTGAGAAGGTTATATGAGCTGGTTTTTGAATGAGCATGAGAATTCTCAACGTGAGGAATTTATAATATTGGCACAAACCCCTCCTTTCAACCTTGGACTTCTATATCCAACTGCATGGATGCTTCAACGTTACCTCAAATTCAGTTTATTATTTAAGAAAGAAGAAATGATCTTTAACTGCCAAACCTAGTCTCTGCTAGGATTCCCATGTGTAACATTGACTTCAGTCCATTTATTCAAACCAAAAGTCTGGGGGCATCCTTGTCCACACCGTCTCCCTTATCTTGCATATGTAATTCAACATCAAGCCCTGTCAGTACACATATATACCTACCAATCTAGCCGTCTTTCATACTACCGTCTCTCACCTTTGTTATTATGATATCCTCCTATCTGATCTATCTGCATTTACTCTACCCATTCCCTTTCCAACCCTTTCTCCAAACAGCAACCAGATGGTTTTTTTTTTAAAAAGACATTTCTCTTCTAAACCCTCTGTTCTTTCATACCTTCCCTTCATTTACTTTCTTCCACCTGAAATCTCCTGCCCAATCTTTAGTAGAGAGAAACTTCTACTCAATCTTTAGTATATTCTTAATGGCAATCTTCTCTGCGAAACTGATCCTGAAATTCTGCAGGCAGTTAATGACTGTTTTCTCCACATTTCCTTGGCCCTATGTTTATACACTTACTACACAGAAGTATCTTCTACATGTGTGAATTGATGGAGAGCAAGTGCTCACTGAACATTTACTGAATGTGTGTATTTACAGCCAAATCTCTCCTCACCGCTGCAATCTCAATCTCAAACAACAGCCCCCAAGCCTCTCTCTCTGGACTGCCCACTCTATCTGCAATGTCCTGACCCCTTCTGATCTCCTAGGTTTGTATTTTGGCCTCTGAGACCTTCCCAAGGAACTTCATGGTTTCATGATCTAATTATATAAATTTCTCCAGCTTCCTAACTTTGCCAAACTCCCAGTTCCAAAGCACCTGATGTAGTCAGCAACGTTTTTGCTGCTGGACTAGTTGATGGATCCACTAGATCAAGTCCCCCAAGACTAAGAGCTGCAGTATTATTAATGTTTGCAAATGTGAATAAGGGGTCCATTGTGTGATGTAAAGTAATAATGCTTATTGTTCCAAAAGTTTGGCAAATAGTAAACAATAAAGTACCAAAAACCTTCTTGCCATGCAGTAATGTCCATCATACACTTTGCTGAAAACTAAAAAATATCTGCAAAGGAGAATGAAGGTATGAAGGTAAATTAGAAGTGACAAGCATCAACTACTCTGCTCACTTCTGCCTGATTAGCTCTGCCAACTAGTGTCAAAATGATACCACAGTGAGGGGCGGGGCCAAGATGGCAGAGTACTCAGGCATTTCCTGTGGTCCCTCTTACAACAAAGACCCAAAAAAACAAGTGAATCAATTATATACAGTGATCTAGAAGCCCTGAACATCAAAGCAAAGTTGAGGAATCAGACTGAGCGGCAGGGGGAGGGAGAGACAGTTCAGAAACAGCCAGTAGTTGCCAGACCTGACCTTGCTGGCCCTGGCACCCTGCAGGCAGGATTGGCTGGCACGCAAGGGGTGAGGCAAGCAGTGCTGCTTGGGATGAGTTTTACACATCGGGAGAGACCGAGCGGTGGAAAGTCTACTCAAGCCTCCAAAACCAGCAAGAAACGGCGATCAATCAGCAAAGGATAAGTACAAGCATCTAACCTGCTAGAAGGATCAAAAAAAGAAAAAAAAAAAAAAAAAACCATTTCAGGAAGTATCTCTCTCCCATTTACCTGCCCACTTCTCGCTCTACTCTGAGTCTCAGTCTGGCTTCAGCAATTGTTGAGTCCCCAGGCCAGAAGTAGGACCTGTCATGCACGCTGAGCCATTCTCCTAGCTTTGGAAAGGGAACAAATTAACAAACAGGGGGAAAAAATCTGTCATCTCCCCTAAGCCGGGAACTCAGAGCGGGTACAGTCCCTTTGCCTAGGCACAAACATAAGGAGTCCATGGACTCTAAGGGCCTTTCACCCCTGCATAGACTTGTGTGGGCCCATTTCAACAGCATAGGCCCTCATTAGCACAGTACAACAGGGTATATACCTGAAGCCTATTTTCATGTGTATCAGCTATAAGGGGGAGAGGCAGATACATGACATTTGACACTGCATTCCCAATTAAGCACAGTCCTCATCTACCTACATCAGGGGCCTGAGGACTGGTGGCTCCACCCACTCCACCGAGCCACCTGTGACAGGGGTCCATGAATAAGTGGTGACTCCCAGTCCTTACAGACAACAGC